GGACAGATTAAAGAAAAGCATCTTAAAAGCAGACAAAAGGGACAGCGACAGAGAAATAGGCAGCAGCGTGGAAAGTTTAAATGAAATTGGAAAAGAGGGGAAGGGAGGTGGCAAGGCATCAGTGCTAGGAAGTCGAGTCAAAGGTTCTTCAAAAACAGACGTGGAGGATGAGCGGAAACCAGAAGTGAAAGAGGAAGACAGAAATGAAGAGTTTAAAAAAAGATCCTCAGAGGAAGCACGGGGAACGGCAGACGAAAAGAAAGATGGGGCCCAAGCTGGGAGAACGGGGAAAACTGAATCTGTGGCTGACAAACATCCCGTTATGAGGCTAGAATCTCATCAGCTGACAACTGTTGTCTCCAGAGGGAGAAGCAAGGAGAAGGAGGAGAGTAGTGGAAGTGGGGAAAGTGATGGAGGAAGAGGAAGAAACCCTGGGGAGGAAGGCCAAGAAGAATCAGGAATTGTGACGCGGAGTAACTGGAGAAATCATAAAACTCGCAAAGGCAGGAAAATAACCAGAGGCAGGAAGATGAGGGAAGGCATGGAGAATAATAAGACACAAAGAGAAGCGACATAGATCATGATGCAGGGGGAGGTGGAGGACACGAGTAAGGAGGGCTGTGTCCTGGGATCACAAAGGATTAGGAAACCTGAGTAAACCTGGAATCAGCTCACAGCAAACAGTTTAATTTCATACATTTGCTGGATTAAAACTAGCTCCTGTTTGTCCAGAACAAGCGATGGATTTCTGGTTGCAGTTAACCAAAGGCCTCACCGTTATTTATCCTTTGAATAAGACTATCGAGCAGTTATTGTACAGTGATTTAATTTTGTCTACCCTTGAGGTACATGTTTTTTACAGTGTTCAGTCTTGATATTTTAAATGTTACTACCCCAAACGCACATTTTTGGCAGTTAACACTTTTGTGTAGCTGTGCATTAATGTTTACCAAAACCAGAAAGTCTTACAGAAACCAAGTTGGACAATCCTTATTGCCAAGAGTATGATGATGATATTGATACCACTCTTATATTTGCCTGTTAAAGGTAAAACAACGGCCTATAAACGTCTCTAAACTTTGCAGATGCACGAGTTGGTCCTCACGTGTTTACATCCAGTGTTAAATATGTAGTTTTAACTTTACTTTGCAGACATAAGAGTGGTGTTCTCTAACTGCACAGGACATGCTGAACTGTCCCTTTAGGTGTTGTAATATGTCCTGTGTGTTAAATTATTATTAGATGTTGTAGTCGTACCTTCATATTTCAGCCATCTTTTTCCCTTTACAGTTGTTTTTTGTCACTGAGGTCTGGTGTGTTTCTGTTGTTACGGTGCTGGTGGAGGGTCGATGTTTTTGGGCGGGTTTTTTTTGCGGTGGATCTCTTTCGGCTGAGGTTGTGGAGGTGCTGGCGCTCTACGTTCCCATCTTTCTCTCTGAGCTCTGAGCTGCTTCCGTGTTGTTGGTGTGTGTCACTGTGAAAGAGACGCTGCTCCTAGTAGTTGCTGCTTTTATTCTTCTTAAGATCTTTTCTGGGAACGGGTGGCAACTGCACTACAGTGGTGCGTCGCTCTGAAACGTTTACATCTCTGCATGCTTCGTTTCGGTGGGTGTTTGTGTTTGTCGGAGTCGTTTTCTCGCACGTGTTCCACCTGAGCTGGTGATTTCATTCCCTTTGTTCGTGTGTGATGTCGGCTGAAGAAGAGTCAAGTAAATCTGGACTCTGCTGCTGTTGTTGCTACGCTGCCTCGCCTGTCTGTGTTTTTAAACCCTTTTATTTTAGTATTTAGGCTTTTGTCGAAGGAACTACTTTAACGTGCGGAGGTGACGACATGGATGTGAATGTGTAATTTATGCTTTTTAGTAGCTTCTGCTTCTGATTGCTATTATTTAAGCTGGTTTTTATTTTATGTCCTCATAAAATAAACATTGTTTTTGAATTTGAGTTGCCTGTTTTTTCATGAGTCCATCATCAACAGAAAAAAAAGAGATCCCCGTTAGAGCATCGTATGGGAATGAGGCTGAGTAATGAAACGGGACATGTCTGGACAAGTTTCCTTGTGCTGAGCTTATCCCGGGATATGACTTGCCTGACATACCTGCTCCTTGTGGCTTTCTGCCTTTTTCTTCTGCAGCTTTTATACCTTCCCCGCTCCACCCATCGTCCCTCAGCTCTAATTGTGATTGGCTGCTGTTTGTGCAGTCCAAACATGAAACTAGTTAAACTGGTTTACACTGCGCAGGTGTTGCTTTCTTGTTAAGATGACACACAAGCTCAGTTAAACTGGCTTTCTTTTTAAAAAAATGTTTTCTCTCCGCTCTTTTTCAGACTGCCACGCGTGTTACCACCGCACCTGCTTCCGCACAGGTAAAGACTGTCCTCGCTGCCAGCGGCTGGCAGACCGGAGAGAGAGGATGGCACGCAAAAACATGGAGGAGCAAGAAGATGAGGGAGGCGGGCCTTAAAGCTGGCAACAGGGGAACCTCGGAGAAAGAGGAGGAGGAGGAGAAGCACAACACGACGATGATTGTAGTGGCTGACCATCTCTCGTTCTGTTCCAGCCTTTGTAACCCGGCGAGACGGCCTTTGCAAACAGCTGATTGCCTCACATGCAGGTTTTACTACATCAGGGCAGCCGCATCACTCAGAGCACCAAGGCTGGTGTTGATTTTTCCTATGAATCTCTTTTAGACATGCACTTTACTCTAAGAATGCGTCCTGCTAGAATGGTAGTGATTTTTAGAAATCAGCTCCCTGATTTGGCAATTGGATTAGATTTGTCTGTCCTTTGCTGATGACTTTATTTAAATTTCCTTGTAAATATGAACTGAATATTCTTGCCAGCATCTCCGTATGGTAGTGCTTCTGTTGCTCCAGAGGGAGTTTTACAACAGGGCACCTTTCTTGCTTCAGCTGTGCTGAATCATTCCTGAATTAATAAAATCGCTCCGTGTGTGAATGAGAAAACGTGCTGCCTTACACAGATGTTTGATGCTCTCATGTTGTAGTTTCATGTGTGAAAACAGCCAAAGACTCTCGACCTGTCAGAAAGTCCCCATTTTTCTCTTTTAAATCTTTAAATTGGGATTGCAAAACGTTAGATTTGAAGAGCTGATCAGTTTCCCAGTTCAGACGGTGTAGTTAAATAACCCAGGAGTGCTCTCTTCCTCGCTCCTTACTGTCCCGTTTTTAGCTATTTTACACACATTTGTGTGGCTCTTGGACAAAGCTGCATTCAAAAACACTGGACATTAGAGGAGGTGTTTCAAATCAGCATTGAGTATTTTTTTTTTTTTTGTTTTTAAATAATTGTGCTGCTGCTTTGTGTGCATTTGGTTACTGGAGAGGTGTGTTGTGAGTGTGGGTGCTTGTGTTTATTTGCGCACACGTCTACCTGCTGTGCGTGTAGCCCAACTGGCACACGGCCGCTCGTTGTAGGTTTTGGAATATTGGAGAAGGTTTGGTTAATTGCACTGATCCCATGTTTTTGTTGGAGGGGCCGATGGTGGGACATCACTCTTTGAGTTTTTAGATGTGTGTCAGGAACATGAACCCTGATCTTGAACGGTCTTAAAAGTTCCTGCCGGTTGAGTTTCTCAACATTGTGAAGATCCACAAGGTAGAAGAGACCATTATCACTTCTTGGGCTAAATTTTGTTTTTTCTTCCAGCAGTTTGAAAGTGTAAACACGACGGTTCACTGTTTGAATACGGAGTTGTGTGCGAAAGCAATTTTTCCAATGGGACTGCTAGCTTGGAGTCTCCTTTAACTGTTTAAATTGACCGTAAGGTTCTGACCACGTATGAGCGTGCTGTTATCACCCGTAGCAGATGATTAATTTCAGTAGTTGAACCAAAAAATATCTTTACAACTCTGATCGTTTTATTTTGATGACTTTTTTGCAAACCCAGTATTGCACAGAGGAATAGAAATGTCTGATTATTGGCTCTGTTGTGAGCTGAATTGATCACATTTGTAGTCCTGAAGTCCTTTGATAGACTGGATAAAACTCCAGTGTATGTATCCCATCTGTAGATTTGAGTTGTTGAGGTTTTGGGCACATAAGGATAAAATATCTTTATTTAAAACTGCCAGAGACTGAATTTTGAATTTTGAGATGCTTTTTAGAAGAAACGCTGAACAAAGTGACTGCTCAGCTCTACTGACAAACCTCCATTTAGATGATTGTTACTATTGGTTTTGTTGCCTTTAACATGGACGAGCGAAGGAGCCTTACAGTGCACTACAGATCCAAATGTATGCTATTAAAAAAGTTAATTATTATGATTAATATTGTGTGTTCATTTGCTTTGGTTCTGTAATCATGTTAATAATAAATGACTGGCTAGACTGTTAATAAGTGTCATTCTTCACTTGAACTTTTCTTGGTAAATAAAACGGAAGTCTTGGAAGTTCATCTGCTGTGTATGTTCATAATTAGTATTTAATACATCAGAGTCACAGCTGCCAAGACCCAGAGGTGGAGGTTTTTCTTTGCCTGTTTTGTTTTTGTGTGATTGCAAAACGATAGGCTGGCGCCCCCTGGTGGGCCATGAAGGTACTTCAGATCGACGATAGGAGATCATTAACAATAACCCATTTTGAACATTTCCTTCATACATGTAATTTGTATGCAGTTTAAATAAAAGAGAATGTATAATTTTTAATGTTGCACTTCTGAACCTTTAATAAGCCATAATCCTATTTATACGGTGAATCAAACGATTATCATTTTGGTTAGATTTCTATAAGAGTCTATAGGAAAACTTCATTGGAAGTGGCTCCAAAATCTCATAGATTTTTCTGTTTAAAAACTCTGATTATGATCATTTTGGAGTCCTTCCATGAAAAAGAAACTGAACTAATAAAATAAAGCCAAGTTATTTTAAGAATGAATAAATCCGTAAAAATTAATCGGTGTTTTGTTTTGTTTTTTGGGGGGGAGGGGCTACTTTCATTTTTGAGCTATTTATTAAAAAAAAAAATAAAAATCCTAATTTGCAAAAGTGAAGCTGTTAATGAAGAATCAAGTCATCAGAAAATCAATATAAATGAAAACCCAACTGAAATTCTTCATTTTCTGCTGGTGTGGTGATTGGAAATGATTGCCTTAGGTGATATCCGGTCACACTGATGAATGCATTTGGAGCAAATTTGGGGTTCAATACTGAAGTGGTTTGCAAATCAAACCTGATCGGTGGACAGCCTGCTCTAAACCTTGAACTAGAGCTGCCCAAGCTTACATTACCCAGTGGTCTCCCATACAGGTAGTAATCAGGCTTGGCCCAACCCAACATGTGGAGTGCTCGAGGTGGCGGTATAACCTCAAACTGAAGCGGCTTTAATTGTCATAAAATTTCATTTTTGGTTACTCAGTTTCGATGCCAAGCTGTTCAAGTAGCAGAGCTGAGACCATCGCTTACATTTCATTGTCACAGAAGCTGATGTCTCATGTATTTATTTTCGTTGTCACAAATCGCTGTTTATGATTATGCAGGTAAACCACAACCCATGAAATTGAAAAACAATACAATAATAGTTGTAATAGTTTTTAATTGCTAATGAATCTTAAAGACAAGTACAACTTCTATTAATGGCATTAGAGTCTAAATGTGTTCAAGGTTCTGGTCTGCAAGGAAAATGGTGGTTACTGGATGTAAGCCCAGGCCTGTGAGTTTATGAATGTGTCCCTCTTTCATTATTTTTCTCTGGCTACTGATATGTTTGGGGGAGAAAAAAAAAGCTCCAGTAAATAGTGTTAGGATACAGTAAACCACAGTCATGTTTGTGACTAAAATGCAGAGTTTGCCAAGGCAAGCTACCTTACAAATGCTCATTAACTGATGCTATTTTGATTACAGGAATGAAATGCAGATAACAGAAGCAGGGCTATTTTCATTATACTTAATGATGCTGCAATTCCTGATCTCAGCAAATCTAACTCATGCCCTCTTTGCTCTTGGTTTGTGTATTTGTCACACTAAAATGTTTCAGGTCATCAATTCGTTTGATCTGAAACATGTACATGTGACAAATATGCAAACAAATAAGGAGTCAGCACGGGGTCAAGTGCATGCGTGAAGTGAAGATTGCCATGGCACTAATCCATGTGATGCAGTTTTTGATCTAATCATGTAGCAAATGAATTATTCCATATCCAGATGCTTATTATTGTGATAAAGCTCACAAAAATGAAGATGATGTACAAGCCAAACAGCAGACGATCGATCACTGTCCCGATCATTTCCCACTCCTGCGTGGCTTTGGTCCCTTGACAGTATTTGTCCACCTGAACTCGGATGGCTGTGAGCTCTCTGCCTAACATCCTCAGTTGTTCCAGAACTGGCTCCGGAGAGTCCAGAGAAGCTGAAAGTGTAACATCTGAGATGCTCTGATGGTCGGAGAGGTTTGTGGCGCTGGTGTTCGCTGATGGTGCTGTGAAACACAAACAAAACACCCTGAGACCACAAAAGGTGGTTACTTTTTCTTAAGTCGTAGATGGTGATTAAAATCGACTTGACTATATTACTACCGGCTTAAATAAGGATAAGCATAACGTACTTTTCAGCTGAGAGATACGTGGCATGACTGTGGAGAGTTGTGACCTAAAGTTTACGTGTCCAGATTCATCAGGATCAAATTGTTTACAAGTTTTAAAAAAATTGGTACCTCGAACTGACTGCGAGAAAATGATTCATGCGTTCATATCGAACGGGTCAGACTGTTGTAACGCTCTGTTTGTAGGACTACACCATCATCAGAGTTCTTGCATATAGGCAAATATAACCATTACCCAAGCGTTTATGTCACTTCACTGGCTCCCAGGACACACACACAGTGGTTTGGCTCTCTGGTACAAGTTAATATAATTCAGTGAAGGAGAAACTTTCAACTCGTTTATTCTTCTTGCATCCCTCCATCCATGGTTTTCAACTTATCCGGGGCCGGGTCACGGTGGCAGCAGCCTAAGCGGAGAAGCCCAGACCTCCTTCTGCCCGGCCCCCTCCTCCAGGTTGTCCAGAGAAACAGCAAAGCGTTCCCAGGCCAGCTGACAGATATAATCTCTCCAGCGTGTCCTGGATGCCCGGAACACCTCACCCAGGAGGCATCCTTGTCAGATGCCCAAACCACCTCAACTGGCTCCTTTCAAAGAGGAAGAGAAGTGTTTCTACACTGAGCCCCTCCCGGATGGCCGAACTCCTCACCCTATCTCTAAGGGAGACGCCAGCCACCCTTTGGAGAAAGCTTATTTCTGCCACTTGTATCTTGCTCTTTCGGTGGGAACGTACACCGATGGATAAACTGAAAGCTTCGCTTTTACGCTCAGCTCTTTCTTCAACATGATGTACAGCCTCCGCATCACTACAGTCGCAGCACCAATCTGTCTGTAGATCTCCAGCTTCCCTCTCCTCTCACTCGTGAACAAGACCACGAGATACAGTCGTGGCCAAAAGTTTTGAAAATGACACAAATAATGTTTTTTACAAAGTTTGCTGCTTCAGTTTTTATGATAGCAATTTGTGAATACTTCAGAAGGTTATGAAGCATGATCAGATGAATTGCAAAGTCCTTTTTGACATGAAAATAAACGTCATTCCAAAAACTCGCATTTCCACTGCATTTCATCGCTGCCCTAAAAGGATCTGCTGACATCATTTCCATAATCTTCTTGTTAACTCAGATGAGAATGTTGATGAGCACAAGGCTGGAGATCATTATTATTACTCATTTATTGAGTTAAAATAGCGGACTGGATTTGTTAAAAGGAGGGTCATTTTTGAAATCATTGGTGACTGCAAAGAAACACATGCAGCCATCATCGCGTTGCATAAAAGAAATTGATTCCATCCTGTTTTTTAAAACTCCAATTGCTTATTTGTACTATGCTTTCATTTTAGAGTGTACTTAAACTCCTTTATTTGGTGCAGGAACTCATCCCTGACCCTCAGTGGGCACTCCTTTTTCTGGCTGAGGACCATGGCCTCAGATTTGGAAGTGCTGATTCTGAATCCTGCCTCTTCACACTCAGCTGCAAACCACTCCAGTGCCAGCTGGAGGCAGTCACCTTATGAAGCCAACAGAACCACATCATCTGCAAAAGGCAGAGATGAAATTCTGAGGCCACCCAAGTGGAAGCCTTCTGCCACTTGGCTACGCCTAAATATTATATCCATAAAGATTATGAACAAATTCAGTGACAAAGGGCAGCACTGTTGGCGTCCAACGCACCAGAAACATGTTTGACTTATTGCTGGCTATGCGGACCAAGCTCCTGCAACATTTGTGTAAGGATTGAATGGCCTGTATCAACGGGGCTAGACACCCCATACTTCTGAGGAACATCTCACCAGGGACATGGGTGAATGCCTTCTCCAAGTCCACAAAACACATGTAGACTGGCTGCCTACTGGGGTCAGCGGCTGGCCCCAGGGAGGGGTCACTTGCCCCGCCCTCCCTTCCCTCCCCATCTCCAGCTGCCTCCCTCTTCCCGCTCCATCACAACCACCCACACATGCAGGGCCTTGGAGTAGGGGTATGTCACCAGGGTGCAGAGGAGGCTACCCCCCCCTTCTGTCCCCTTCTGGCTGCCTCTGCCTCAATTTTATCCCACAACTTAGACATTCACATTACTCACACTCTCATTACACATACATATAGGATCTTGGGGGTGGGCACAATCACGGAGTCCAAATTACCATCAGGGTGTACACCTCACCCCTGGCTCGTTGCCCACCTCTCAATTTTAAATACACTTAGACATTGAGGGCTAGCAGGAGGGACCATGCGCTTACCTGCTGCTCTCTGGCAGGTAGCTCCATGCCCTCCTGGGTTTTAAATGCACCTTAGATCACACATGCATCAACACTACAATGAGCGGGTGGAGGGAGGTTTGGAGTCTTCTCTCACCCCCGTTCTCTGCGGCCTGCTGGAGCGGGGGGGCTAGTAGGAGGAGTTGGCCGTCCGACTGCGGTCTGGGAGTGTGGGGCCTCCCTGCTGCTGCGGAGTCGGGGTCGGTCTGCCTCCCCCACCGCAGGGAAAAGGGTAACACCACCTGGGTCTGGGTGCAAGTTCCCCCCTCCAGGGGCAAGGGTACCTAGACCCGGTTTGTAGAGTACGCTTGGGGAGTGTGATTGTGTGTACAGCGTCTCTTTATGTCTAGTCTCCATGTTGGTTGAGTGTGGAGTAAGTGCACATGAGAGCATGAGGGTGGGAATGGATGTTTGTGTCTGTGTGTGCCTGTATGTCTGTGTCTATATGTCAGGTTGGGTGTCAGAGCGCCACCTCTCTGGGGACATCTCAGGCCCTCCAAGGTTTGGAGGCCTATCTCCCCCTACCACCACTTCCCCTGCCAGTGGCGGACTCCCTCAGACATCGGTGCGTTGGTGGTTCTTTGTGTCCGGGGATGGGCGTCCAGGTACACACCGGCTCACTCCTTGGCGGCCGCTTATCGGGGCCTGGAGCCTGGGGCTTGCTCGGGCCACTTCGGAGGTGGGGTGCCCCCGGCCTCTCGGCCTGGGGCTCGGTCACTCAGGCACGGCTGGCTGCCGGCGGAGCTCACGGGCGCGTCACTGCAACTCCCCCTGGCTTCTGCTCCGCGGCTGCTGAGTGAGCCCTCATCTGGGACTCTCCTCAGCTCTTTCTGGGACAGTGGCGCGGCTGCCCCTCTGTTGGTCTTCCTTGGTCTCTTGTGTTCTGGGGGCCTCTGGATGTCTGGAGTTTTGATCTCCTCCATACCTGCTTCATGCCCTGGAGGACGGGGCTGTGGCCCCCCCACACCCTCTAGCAGATCATTACATGAAGGAACCTTTTAAAAACAAGCGCGTCCATGCTCACAGGTGTACACACGGGTGATCACACCCACAAACTACACCCTTTTTGGCTCCTACCTCAAAGCACACTGTGTTGCTGTTGATCTTATGTGCTGCACAATAATGTTTAATATTTAGTATTTACTGTCATATTCCCATATATCATTGTGATGTTGTTTATTCTATTACTCTTGTTCTCTTCTGCTTGTTTTCTTTTTTCTTTCTCAGCAGGTGATCCAGGTGATTGATAGTATGCATTTTTTTCTCTGCTCATTCTGTTGGTTTTTGTTCTTTTGCCCTTCTCCCCCGTCCCTCTTCTCAGCTGTTTCTCTTTCCCTCTTTCTTTCTCCCCTTCTTTCCTCCCAGTCAAGTCTGTCCCGTATTCAGCTAAGTGAAAATAAAATAAACAATAAAAGGTGAATCAAATGGACCATTATGGCAAGGCTGGGATGGTCAATTTGGTAAAGTAAATCCGTTGGGCATCTTTCTTTGCCTTTAGACAATAATTCTGATGGCAAAAGAGCCAAACGGGACAGGCAAAAAAAAAGAAAAAAAGAAATGTGATCTCCCTATAGCTGGAACACACAATCCTCAGCCATAATGCCAGCATTATGTTGTTTAACCTAACACATAGTCCACTATAGTCAATACAGGCCACAGCTGTTTCTTCAGCTTGGGCTCGTAACAAAATCTTCTATTAATAACGGGACTATAAAAATAATAACGTACCTCTGTGAGATGGATTGAGGGAGACTGTGACTCGATTGCTCTTTTGCTTTGGAGGGATACAAACAAGAACAGCTAGATAACGTAACACGAGGACACTGAGCCAGTGAGGCACTGCGCTGTACTCTCTGGGCTTGTACTGAATGTTTGTGATGAACAGCGTCTCCAACAGGCTGGCAACCATCAGCGCCAGACTGATGGAGAAGAAAACATCTGCAGGAAACAGCACCAAAGACAGGAAGAACTCAGAACAGTTTTCATTAAATCATTTTCACATGTGAGCTCATATTCTCTTTCTCAGTCTTAGTTACCATCGTGTTTAAGAAATGTCTGGATTACAGCCATAGATGCCTTATCTTGCTGTGTGTCTTTGACATGACAACTAGAGCTAAAAAAAAAAAACAACACACCCCAAGAATAAATGTGTCTTTAGTAGGTGGAGCCTTTTGGCAAGTTGACACTGATCGGGATCATCCAGTTTTGCAAAATGTACTTCGGTGAAGAGTTTCACAGTTTAGAAAACTTGTTTTTTTAGGAACTGACGGTTTTGGTGAAAATTTGATTTCGAGACGTCTGTTCCACAGATGTTTGAATTCAACCCTTCATAATCCAAAGGACACTGTATTGTCTTTCAGAAACACTGTCTCTAACCTCCTTAAGTGTATAAATACAGCACAGTGTATTTCTTCAAAAGAAGAACTATGCAGCCGATTCTACATTTATGTACACTCACTGATGAGCGGTGTTTTCTCCCCGGTAACAGGCAGCAGGTCATTCATTATGAGCAGGAAGACGGTGTAGCCCAGGATGAGTGTCATCTTGAAGGAGGATCTGTCCACGCTCTGTGGGGGCAGCACAAAACTGAAGAGGTCCACTGTGATTAGGAAACAGCTGGGGACCAGGAGGTTGACCACATAGGCGATTGGTCTCCGTCTGAGCACGATCTTGGGAAGAGGCAAGTATTAAACCTGTAAGATTTTTGTTCGATTGTATGCATCAATCAATCTTTTTCCTCTACAGATGTGACTGACAGAAAATGATTACATCAAGTTGTTGCTGCTAAAGTCACTGAATCATGGGATGTACTTAGTTTTTACCAACTGCTTCAGAATTTTGGTCAATAAATGAGATGTCTCATTACATCAAATATTAGAAATGAAGCTTTTAAAACGGAAACAACTTCCAAAATGCTGGATGTAATCCCTGCTGTCCTGTGCCACCACAGCACAGTTCAGTTTCTTTATGTTTCACTCATGCATCATCTGCACCTGATTTTACTTTACTTTCATTCTCACAACAAACATGTTCAATATGATAGCGACTGGTTTATAAAGGCTTCCCATAATTAGGAACTATTAAACAATAAAGTGTGATCAGCTATAACAGTACAAAATAAATTATCAGAAGGATGAAAAAGTCAGTAAAAACACGCTTACATAGTATGTGATCTCAGAGTAGCTTCCACTGTCTAAATGCAGGCTGGAATCGGCAATATTTATATCTGTCAGCTCCCACTCCCCATTGGTTACAATCACATCTTGGGACTCTTTCAGGACCTTTTCAGCTGTGGCGCCTTGAATCATCTGAATATCCGTAGCTAGAGTGACATTCAAGACTTTTGCTTATTTGCATATTAGCACATAGTTTTGTGTTAAAATCAGAATATGGATGCTCTATAGCAGGGGTGTCAAACTCAAATACACAGCAGGCCAAAATTCAAAACTGGAACAAAGTCGTGGGCTAACGTTAATATTTATTGAAATATATTTATTCCTCCAGATATAAGAATGAATCTTTTCTTATGGACTCAAACAAGTTTTGCTGAAAAACTGAATATAGAACAAGCAAAGCTTTCATACTAAACAATATATATATTAGCTGTATAATACCAGTAGGCCAGCTCTAATAGTAATTTGGTATGGCTTCGCGGGCCAAATGTAATTAGGCTGCGGGCCAAATTTGGCCCGCGGGCCAGAGTTTGACACCTGTGCTCTATAGGGATGTTTTAGAGTTTAAAAAATAATTTTTAAGACTCTTTGAGATTATTTTTTTTTTACATTTTCAGGCAGCCTTACCAAAGTGTAAATATGATCCGAAGGTCAACGAGCAGTTTTGGATATCAAAGGGAAAGGTGTAGATTCCCAATTGGCAAGAAGTGACCACTGTGATGGGCTTATCATCATATACATGACCTGTATTATATAAGTAGACATAGGGAGTTTTGGTAGAGCTGGCTTCGTCCAGGCTGGAATAGAACAGAATACAATAATAAAACACTGAAAAAATATATATGAAAAACAATATATTCAAATCAGGTGATGAGTGTAAGAGAACAATAATTCATTATTATCAGGATGTCCTAAAAACTAAATGAAAAGTCTTCAGCTAATCCAAAACGCTGCAGCAAGAGTCCTGACAGGGACTAGAAAGAGAGAGCAGATTTCTCCTGTTTTGACTTCCCTTCATTGGCCATACATCCATCCATTCGCTTCCGCTTATCCTTTTCAGGGTCGCGGGGGGCGCTGGAGCCTATCCCAGCTGTCATAGGGCGAGAGGCAGGGTACACCCTGGACAGGTCGCCAGTCTGTCACAGGGCTAACACACAGGGACAGACAACCATTCACACTCACATTCACACCTAGTGGCAATTTGGATTATCCAATTAACCTATCCCCACAAGCTGCATGTCTTTGGACGGTGGGAGGAAGCCGGAGTACCCGGAGAGAACCCACGCAAACACGGGGAGAACATGCAAGCTCCACACAGAAAGACCTGATGGTGGAATTGAACTCAGGCCCTTCTTGCTGTGAGGCAACAGTGCTAACCACCGTGCCACCGTGCTGCCCCCCCCTTCATTGGCTTCCTGTTAAATCCAGAATTGAATTCAAAATCCTGCTCCTCACATACAAGGTCTTAAATAATCAGGCCCCATCTTATCTTAATGATCTTGTAGTACCATATCACCCTATTAGAGCACTTCGCTTCAGTTTTCAGGCCCCTCTTCTGTAGAACCAGCTTCCAGTTTGGATTCAGGAGACAGACACTATCTCTACTTTTAAGATTAGGCTTCAAACTTTCCTTTTTGCTAAAGCATATAGTTAGGGCTGGACCAGGTGACCCTGAATCCTCCCTTAGTTATGCTGCAATAGACATAGGCTGCAGGTGGATTCCCATGATGCATTGAGTTTTTCCTTTTCAGTCACCTTTCTCACTCACTATGTATTAATAGACCTCTCTGCATTGAATCATATCTGTTATTAACATCTGTCTCTCTTCCACAGCATGTCTTTATCCTGTCTTCCTTCTCTCACCCCAACAGGTCACAGCAGATGGCCCCGCCCCTCCCTGAGCCTGGTTCTGCTGGAGGTTTCTTCCTGTTAAAAGGGAGTTTTTCCTTCCCACTGTTGCCAAAGTGCTTGCTCATAGGGGGTCATATGATTGTTGGGTTTTTCTCTGTATGTATTATTGTAGGGTCTACCTTACAATATAAAGCGTGATTTGGCGCTGTATAAATAAAATTTGAATTGAACAACACTGAAAATAAATGTCGCAGCCTGTCCAGTAGGTGGTGCAGAAGGTGGTCGGGGTTCCTGATTAGTTTATTTATCTCCTGCTCTCCCAGCAGACCACAGCAAAGTACACTGCACTCATCAGAAGTAAGTGATAGAAAATATTCATCATTATACCACATGTGGAAGGACGTAAGCTTCCTTAGCAAAGAAAACCTGCTCTTCCACTTTCTGTTTACAGAGCAAGTGTTGGTCTTCCAGCTCAGTTGTGGACGGCGATGTCTCTCATGACTGCTTTGTCATTTCTGACCTTTTTAGTGTTTTAATTAAAAGTTAGTTTTCTTCGACTTGATTTAGAAAATTCATTAAACTTACAGCTGTTTTAAGTGAATGTCTGGGACCCAAAGGTTGTCCCGAGGAACCGAAACTCTTTTAGCTGCACATTCCTTCTCATCCCAGTTCAGTCCTTCGATATCCCACTCCTACATTAAACAGAACAACAGCAAAACTGTTCCACAGCACTACAGCTATCATGTTAACTGCTGAAACAGGGAAACACAACATCTGGCATTAAGTCATGTTAGACTGTAAGAAAAAGTTCCCAAGTGATAATAAATATTTGAAATTACTGTTACAGACTTAAGGAAATCTAAAATAACAAGTAATGTATTCTTTATGTATTAATTCAGTGGCCAAACATTTTGATTCATTCTTATGATCGCTCTGGATTGGTTCATTGTGCTGAAAATACAAATAGTTGCAACAGAAATAATTTACAAAATGTCAGTATAATCATATAAGAAATGTGACATTATTGTTTTAGTTCTGAGAGCTGTTCAAAACATACCAGGACCTGCCATATGACTGAAGACAGTGTTTGGGATTTTTCATTCTAAAGATGAGTAACATTAGAAAGTATATTAGAGTCATAAGGATTATTAGTTCCACATAGATGACATGATGTTAATATTTTGTGTATAAGCTGTGTAGACTCACCACTCCTAAAATTCCTGCCACTGTTATGCTGATGGATATGTTTATTGGCTTTGCAAAGTTTTCGACAGGACGCAGCAGTTTGTTAGGGAACAAATGATTTGTGAGTTCATCAAACAGGGCAGCAGGAGTTGGGCTGGTGCAGTTCAAAGCCGCCACAAAGCCTGAGATCAAGAAGAGAAAAAGCAAATTAAACGTACAACTATGTTAAATGCTTGAACATGAAAACACGCAGGCTCAGTTCTTCCATTTGTATTTTTTATTTGGTGTAGCAGATGCTTATTTTATTACAGCGGGTAAACACGTGAGAGCCGAGTGTGTTTACTCGTTTCTTTTGTTTGTAATGAAAATGTAATTGTACTGAAAACACTAAAAAATAAAAGCAGATCCAGTGCTGCCCTTTATTGAGATAGATGTAACTGAATGACCTCCTTCGTTTGAAAATTAATGACAAAAATAATAGTGATGGGAAAGTTTTTAAACATTTAACCATTTAGCTTCTCTGTTATGTATTAATCTGCATGTATATCACGTATAAAGAAATGAAGGCAATACTTTAACTTTAGTCTCTAAGTTAGGTTTGTTTTTCTTACAGGAAGTTTTAATGCTAAATTTTAATAAATCCTTCATACATTAGTAAATATGTGTAAGGTGTTACGACTGTGCAGGAAGTAAATCAACACATTGCTGTCGCTTTCTTTGTTGTGAAATGTGTTGATAAAATGTTTTCTTGCCTTACCTTGTAGCAACATGAAACAGATGACGATCAGCTCAGCAGCTTTCACACCGGCCATTTTCTGTCTCAGCTTTATTTAGCCCTTATTAACATGACAAGTGGCTGATACTCTAAATTACAACAGCTTGGGTGCCGTCACATACAGATAAAGCTGTGAGGATGCGCAGGTGAAACCAGTAACCACCTTCAGAAACTAATATTGACTTTGCAGTGTGACACATGTACCTGATGCACGCGTCCATCCACACATTGTTGCAAGTGTTTGGATTCAAAGCAGGTTTTTATCACTTATCATCTTCACTTGGATTTGTTCCGTACGAGTCAATCACATGATGACTGTTGTGACAGCTTTTTTTGGCAACAGGCTCTGCTGCTTTCAGTTTCCAATAATGTGACATAGTTACGCAATTATAATTTGTGGTGTGATATTAGGAGATCAGTGAAGATTTTAACTGGCAAATAGTTTTTACAGACCAATTTGAGCTGGTTTGATGGAGATAAATGGGCAGCAAGCAGCCTCTCCATTGCCAGAGAGCTCTAGTTTTGTCTCGTCTGACTAAAGGACGCACTTCTAGTGTGCATAATCTTTCTTCAGGTTGTCCTTAGTATACTTCAGTCTGCTGTGAAGGTGTCTCTTTTGCAGAAGTTGAGTTTTTCTTGGTTTGCAATCTTGCAGTCCATTCCTGTGCAGGGTTCTAGTGATTGTCTTCTTTGAGACCACAGTTCCTGACTTGACTAAATCATTCACTCATCTCTTAGCATTTGTTATGGAGTCTTTAAACACACACTCTCTCTCTATCACTAGTTTTCTTTCCAGAGTCTTTGAACTCTCTCGATTCCTGCCTCTATGTTGGAAATCCTGTTAAAAAGTCCTTAGGACAATTGTGTTGGTGACAGCTTTTGTTATAGTATCAATAATATATATAAATATGGAATACTGATACATGTTTGCATAGACTTCTGTGGAATATGGAGACACTCCTGGCATTATATGAGCAAAGTGAGACTCATTTTGTCAGGTTTCGTGGAGATGAGTGTGAAGATCCAAACAATCCCTGTTATGATCTCAGTGATGGAGAAGCTTTGATGAAATAATTTGGTAAAAAGTTCAAACTTACTTAGGAGGACCCCACCACGCCTGCTTAAAGAAAAGTAAATGTGCTGATGTGATGGCTGCCCTTACAGCCACACAGTGGTAATATCACCATTTGGTCACCATAGACATTCACATTACTCACACTCTCATTACACATACATATAGGATCTTGGGGGTGGGCACGATACACGGAATCCAAAAGACCATCAGGGTGTA